GAGCAGCAGCAGCAGCAGCAGCACAGAAGACCGGCGATCTTCTGGGGCTGGCTCTGTGTGTGCGTGGGGTGTATAAGCAGATAAGAGGTATAAAATAAGAATTAAATTAAATAAAGAAGAATAAAAAGGATAATAATTTGCTGCAGTTGCTGCTGTTGCTGCTGCTGTTGCTGCTGTTGCTGATTGAGGTGTACGTACACCGCAAACAGCGGAGAGTTTATGGCGTAGCTGTTGGTGAATCAACAGTCGTGACTTTTTCTTTTTTTCTTTTTTATTTATTTATTTATTTGTTTATTTTCTTTTATTTATTATATTTATATCTTCTTTTATTACCAACAATAAGATATAAACAAAATCAATACTCACGCCATGCTCGACAGTACAACCAGCTCGAAACCCTAAACCCTAAACCCTAAACCCTAAACCCTAAACCCTATTTCCTCGTCAAGATGGAGACCCCAACGGTCATTATAGATAACGGATCAGGTTCGTCCTTCTTCTTCTTTGCTTCCCTCTCCCTTGATATATATATGTCCTGCCTTGAGGGTTTAGCCAGCGTCATTAGGGTTTAGGGTTTAGGGTGTATAGGCAGCGATGGTGTTTTTTGTAAATACAAAAAGTAGAGGAAACAGTTACTCATATGGCAGCAGTTTGGCGGTATAACGCAAACCCTACAGCTTACCTAGGGTTTAGGGGGTTTAGGGTTTAGGGTTTAGCATGCAGATTGACAAGTGTGGTGTTATATTGTCTATATCCATTTAAGGGTTTATGAGGGTTTATGTTTTTGTTGTTTCTTTTTGTCATTATTCTTCTATTTGCTGTTGGTGGTTAGGGTTTAGGGTTTAGGGTTTAGGATGTCTTGCCTTTGTTGAACCAGTATTCATTAGTGCTGCTTCTAGGGTTTAGGGTTTAGGGTTTAGGGTGTATCCACTTTCTTCAACCCGAAAATAAAATTATATATATGTATAAATAACCAAAAAAAAAATAAATAAGATAAATAAAATAAATATATTTATTTATATATTTATTTATTTGTTTATTTATGTATTTATTTATTAGGGTTTATAAAGGCGGGTACAAATACAGATTCCTTACCTAGTGTTTTTTTCCCTACAGTAGTAGGGTTTCCTCGTCGTCGTTTCTTACATTTATTTAATGATAAACCCTCGCAAGAAAAAATATTTATTGGGGATAAAGCTGTAGAGAATAGGCATCAATTAACCATCGTAAACCCTATTGATCATGGACATATTGATGATTGGGAACAGGTAAGGGTTTAGGGTTTAGGGTTTAGGGTTTTAGGGGTTTTAGGGGTTTTAGGGGTTTGAGGGTTTGGGGGGTTTTAGAGTTTTGGCGGGTTTAGGGTTTAGGGTTTAGGGTTTAGGGTTTAGGGCTTGTTGTATGTTTACAATAAGGGTTTGTTCGATTCTGCAAAAAAGTATCCTACATCCAAGGGTTTACAGTTTATGATTTAGGCGGTTTTAGGGTTTAGGGTTTAGGGTTTCGAATTTTTTAGTTTTTCGAATTTTTGAGGGTTTAGGGTTTAGGGTTTAGGGTTTATGGTGTATGTACAGATGGCGTATGTATGGCAGCACGTATATGATGTATTAGGACTAAACCCTTCTGAGCATCCTTGTTTATTAACTGAGCCCCCTAATTGTTCATCTACTCATCGTAATAAATTAGCAGAAACCCTTTTTGAGGGTTTTGATGCCCCGGAGGTTTGTCTAGGAGTAACAGGACTTATGGCTATCTATGGGTAAGGAGGGTTTAGGGTTTATTAGGGTTTAGGGTTTTATTAGGGTTTAGGGTTTTGGGCTTTAGGGTATGGGAGGAGGGCTTAGGGTTCACGATTAGGGTTTAGGGCTTTGGGGATCTAGTGGTTTGGGTTTTGGGGTTTCTTACTGAAGGAATTAGGGTTTAGGGTTTAGGGGTTAGGGTTTGTTCTTTTGTGCTGCAGCACAGGACAGACAACTGGATTGGTGGTGGATATAGGAGAGGGCGTCACGCAATGTGTTCCTGTCTTTGACGGTGGGTTAAGGGTTTAGGGTTTAGGGTTTAGCGTCTAGGGTTTAGGGTTTGTTAGGGTTTAGCGTCTAGGGTTTAGGGTTTAGGGTTTAGGGTTTGTTATTATGGATATATTAGGTTAATAATTTTAGACTATATATAACCGCTTGTTTTCTTCCCCATTTCTTGTCCTTGAACCTGAAAGGGTTTAGGGTTTATATTAGGGTTTATTAGGGTTTTAGGGTTTAGGGTTTAGGGTTTATGTATAGGATACCTAGAGGCCTCCTCCTTAAGAAGGAGTGACTTTGGTGGCGAAGAGTTACAAATGTATTTACAAAAAATATTATGTGATATGGGATACCAAATGACGACACGTGACGACTACGTAAACCCTAAACCCTAAACCCTAAACCCTAAACCCTAAAAAATCCTAAACCCTAAAAAATCCTAAACCCTAAAAAACCCTAAACACTGGTAGCTAAAAGTTGTTAATGTATTTACAAAAAATATTATGTGATACCAAATGACGACACGTGACGACTACGTAAACCCTAAACCCTAAATCCTAAACCCTAAACCCTAAACCCTAAAAAGTCCTAAACCCTAAAAAATCCTAAACCCTAAAAAACCCTAAACACTGGTAGCTAAAAGTTGTAAATGTATTTACAAAAAATATTATGTGATACCGAATGACGACTCGTGACGACTACGTAAACCCTAAACCCTAAACCCTAAACCCTAAAAAACACTAAACCCTAAATTGTAGATTGTAGAGCATAAACTATATACTGTAATGCTTGGGTTGCAGTATTGCTGGTGGTGGGCTGTCAATAAATCCTTAATTTAGGGTTTAGGGTTTATTAGTGTTTAGGGTTTAGGGTTTATTAGGGTTTAGGGTTTCGGAGTCTTAGAATACCAATGCAGCCGTCGTGTAAACCCTAAACCCTAATATGGTGTTTTTGTGTACAGGAGCACGTCCGCGTCATCAAGGAAACCCTCTGCTTCTGCTCTTTGGATCCAGCATGTATGTAAACCCTAAACCCTAAACCCTAAACCCCAAACCCCAAACCCTAATCCCTAAAACCCTAAACCCTAAACCCTAAACCCTAGGTTGTGTGGTGTATATGCAGCTGATCAGCAGAGGACAGACTTGGACAGAACTTATCATCTCCCTGATGGCCTAACCCTAAGAGACGGCGAAACCACGTACCTAAACCCTAAACCCTAAACCCTAAACCCTAGATAATGTTATTAAAACTTAAGACGTCAAAACCTAAAAGATTAATAAATCCCTTTCTGTTTATTTTAGTTGTTTTATTTGCCTTCCTTGTATCTGCATATGCATATGGATATGCATATGCATGCATATGCATGCATGCATATTTTGGGGCTTTTTCCTTTTTTTTTTTTTTTTTTTTTTTTTTTTTTTTTTTTTTTTTTTTTTTTTTTTTTTTTTTTTT